ATGGGCTATTAATCTGCTGTACATGGCACTGGAGGGAAAGCTCATTAGGTGAGTTGATGCAATTACTGCTATTACATAACCATCTTCACAGAACATAGAGTAAATTATGAATAATAACATTCAATCTAAGTTGCTCCTTTAAACATTAAAGCTGGCAAGTGAAAGCCATGCAAAACCAGGAGGAAAGGCTGGAGGATGGCAGAGGCAGATCTCCAAAGCAGGGGAAAATCTGCTTTTCAGAGTCTCCAGGCCACAGCAAAAGCAGAAGATGTTTATTTARCCATGCGAAACATGGTGCAACAAGCAGAACTCCGCTCTTTACAACAGTATTTTAATTGTATATAAATCATTTTCAGGCACTCGGCATAACAAAGTGTGCATTATCTCTGGCTAAGGACAGACTGACCCCAGACCGCTGCGTTTTTTTGTAGCAGACAGACCCTTTCTGTTGGCTCTGCTCTCTTAAAATACCTCCCAATCACTGGTTGGCCTTAACTTTTAAAAGTTCCCAGTTTCTCAGGCTTAAAAAATAAATACGATCCTTCCTATCCAATCAGGAAATGGGAAAAAATATGACCTTACTGAATAAAACTAAAAATTGTAATCTGTGAATCCTGATTGCTGTTTCCTCACTATTGGCCTACTCAAATTCTTAATTTCATTGGAATTCTCACATTTGGCTGGAATTTTTCACCTTCGCACCACAAACTTCCCCAGGTGCTGCAAAAAGTCATCATTCTCAATTGCCAATATAGGCAACCTAGTCTAACCATCTTGTAACTTCTTTGTGGGAAGAGTCAGTCCCAAGGTCAAATTCATGATTTTGCAATTTCCATCCCAATATTTAGATGATGTCTCTCAAGGAACCAAGAGGAGTCAGTGGACAAGGTGGCTACCGTGGAATTTTTGACCAAATCCCTATCAACTACATGTTATCTAGGCATCTAGTTTAAAATCTAGCCAACAGCAAATCAAAACAATTCTTAATTCAATACTTAACTGCTGGTTAGAAAGAATTAAACATASTTAAATGCTGAGTAAAAGCATCCCAATGAAGATTTCATGGGTTATAATTAACCCACTTTAAAAACACGTTGTTAGTGGATCYGGATGAGCCTTCCCAAAGCAGCTATGGAGATTAGCCCTCTAGTTAACAACTCACTGGAGATGGGATCTCACTTCAATAAGAAGACTGAAAGAATATAAAACTGCAATATAATATAAAAACACAAACATAACAATACGTTAAGTAATTGCTTCCTGGATGCCAATTTATGCTAGAAACAAAGTGAATTAACTCATCCTACCGTTCAGTAGCAGAATTTAACCCTACATCCCAAGAAGCATCAACATTTAAACCTCGTAAGACTTTGAAGTCGGTGATGAAACGTAAGAGATGTTTCTGTGCAGGTTCAAAACGTGCATGTACAAATGCAGAACACAAACATCCCGAACACCCAGAGCTCTCCTGGTCCCAGTAAGTCCCTGCCTTCCTTGTTCCAGGGAGGCCGATCGTGAGCAGATCTGCAGCCCCGAGTGGGGCTGGGGTGCACTGAAGGCCCCCAGAGCAGCAGTTGTGGCCCCTCATGAGCGCAGTTTTGCCTGCCAGGGCTCGCTGCGGATGAGGCTTGTGGCTCGAGGGCTTTCCCGCATCTTCCCATGCCCGGCTGGGGCCTTGGCTGGTTTTATGAAAGCGGGTGGAAATGTGGGACCGGCCAGGCTAAGTCGAGCAAAACGAAGCTCTGCGCTTGCACCCTGCCACAAACCCAGTGCTTAGGTTTTATTTAAGGGTAGGTTTCATGCTACCAAGGGCATGTTCTAGCATCCTGCTGGAAAGCACCTGTGGTTTTGTCCCAGTTCCTGCCTGCTGCCTTGGTCATGCCAGGAACCACTCCAGGCTGGAGTGGTGGGAAGGGTTGGAAAGGAGAAAAACGTTGTGGAACTGGGATCAGAACCTCACCTGCACCTACAGCCCCACAAACCTGCTGGGCCCAGCTGGGCCCAGGAAGGTGCAGGGAGCTAGGCAGGGGCTGGCCCTGGGCTGCGGATGCTGCCAACTGCAGCTTGCCCTGGGGGATGCAAGCTCAGATCCCTCAGGAACGGAGGGATCCCACAGCCAGGCTTTGTTTGAAGCAGATTTCACCCTGTTGTGGGGTGATAAGGATGGTCCCTCCTTCCCCTTTTTGCAAGAGTGGCTGCGCAACCGGAGCCGGTTCCGGCGCCGGTGGGATCCCGTTTCAGCCGGGCCCGCAGATCCTATCGCAGTGCAAACAGCTCCATTGCAGCCCTGCAGGCAGCCTGGCTGCTGACCTCTCCTATCAGATCTGGGCACCACAATGGGGCTGCAGATACCTCGGGTTCCTTACACCAACAAAACAACCCCCAAAGAAATGCAAATTTGGGGCATTCCTTCATCATCTCACTTTGCTGGCCATGACAGGATAAAGGCACACAAGAAATGCTGAGTACCCCTTAATCTTCTACAACACACTGCATCTCCATCCTTAAAATTGTACTTACTGCTTTGGCTGGGCAATCATTTCTGATCCTAGTTTATGTGCAACTCTCTCTAAGCTCAAAAGGAGTTGCATATCTAAGCATATATGCACGCCCTTTAAATGTAGCACAAATAAAAACACAACCGTAGAATTTAAGCACAGATTATTCTGGAGACTGAAATCCTATATTTACTCCTGCTTAGCTCTTGGGAACAAACATCGAGGCTCCTGTTTGTGGTTGTCCATCCTGATTAACTTGCCCATTTGGGACTGGTTTGGCCACTGCAGACCTGTTTTCCTGTTAGACTCCTCCAATACATTTTGCTGTCCTTTCTTCACAGCTTTCACATTACAAGGTAACAGAGTTTAAGAAGACAAAAAACTTAAGTGTGAATAAGGTACTTATTTAGAGAACCACCCTGTATCTCCTAAAAAGCCTGCTAACAAATGTTCCTTAGTTTACATAACCTTCTCAGGAGGTGCACTTGAAACACGGAGACACTCAGGTAAAAAAGCCAGATTAGAAAGGAGTTTTCCAAACCTTTTAGAGTTGGAAAGTTCCTGTTTATGAAGAGACAACGAAGAATTATCTCAGCCTTAGTTTTTAAACCCAAGGGACAAGACACTTTGCATTCAAACCGACGACATTTAAAATAGTTCCTCTGTTCCACTGCAAAAGCCTCTTACAGAAAGGCAGCCAGAGGACATCCTTCACTTCTCCCAGCATCTCCTCGTTCCCCCGCCAACCTGCTACCTCCTTTGGGTGCCTAGAGCAGTTTGAGATAAAGGCAACTGCCAAAGGGCAGTTTCACTCCCTGTTCACCCTAAGAACATGCAGAGCTTCATTCTCGCAAGGGACAATTCTGGCAAAGCTCCAGCTACCCTATGAGAGGAAAGAGAACAACAAACGCCCTAAAAAGCGGTTATTTTTTATGCTTTACCCTAACTAGATTGAGTTAACATGTTAGCAGTACATCTGGTATTTCAAAATTTCAAAAATCGACTCTGGTGCAACATGACAGCATTTAAGGGGATTATTATTATTTCACATCAGCAGTAGAATTCTGTATGCTATGATTCATTAACCACAATTTCTGATTTCCATGATGAGCGTCTGGAAAGTCTGCAAGTGTTCCTAAGCACATGGAGCTCTTTCCCCCCAAAGCTCTTCCTCAGAGAGGGGAAAATAGAGAGGACAGAAAAATAGCACTGACTAATTGCACCACTCTGCAATTAGTACAGAGCAGTGTGACTTTGGGACCTGTTCTACTCTTGCCCAAGTGCAGAAGAATGAACTACTGGGAAGCTTCCTGCCATTCTGGAAAGAAAAATGCTTATAACTGAACTGTAATTTGAACATGTTCTTGTCTTAACTGTCTCATCAGTGTCAGAATTCTTCCTCTCGTCTTCTTTAAGAGTTCTCTGGGTATATTAAGTAAAGAGAGTATTGCTGGGTATTTTTTTTTACTTCTCATGTACGCACTGCAAATTTCTGGGATGTTTATTATTAGGATTGACCTCCTGAAATCAGGAAGGTCACTGATGAAGGAAAAAAATTCTACAACAATAAAATGTATTATTACATTAAAGAATTTGTTTTTTACTGCTACCAAGCCAATCAAAATAAAATAAAAAAGAACCCTTTTAGAAGAATTGCCCTGGGGTCTTGAGAAAGGCTACCTTCTGCTAAGTTTTCATGCTTGAAAGGGATATAACTTAAAAATGTATAAATAAAAAACAGTAATTTTTCTCTTTTTGTTCAAGTTAATTTCAAGTGCAACATAAAGACTCCTGGAAATGAAGGTAGAAGAAAAAATCCACTGTATTTATCAGTTTTGTACATTTAGCAATACTTTACTTACAGTTGGATTTTCTGTGGAGGGTTAAGGCAAAATTTCACGTTCCAGGGAGGCTCCAACTAATCAGATTTAGGGCTGCCATTCCATCAGCTTTTTAAAAATACATATTTTGAGTGGTTGAGTCACCAGTTTGACAAAGGAACTAATGAGGAAACCTCTGTCCTCCCTCAGACCAGCAAGGGAAACAGCATGAGGTTGAAGGAGGGGTTAAGAAGGCAGCGCTGTGTCCTTGCCCAAGATGCCCTTTCATAATCCTTCCTTTAAGAAAAGGTAGTTGTGGCTGTGTTCTTTTAAATTTGAGCAGGTTAATGAACATTTGCCTAAAATAATTAGAAATTATTAAACTTAAAAAAAAAAAAGTGGCAAGAGTGTCTACTCACAAGCTCCAACCTGGGCTAGTCGGTATCATGTCATGCTACAAATTGTGAAGCGATGGCCTTTAAGCTGCAGAGTTAGGGACTAGAACAGATCTGACAGGGGTTGCGTGCAAAACCAAAATTCCTTTTGTGCATACGAATGCAGATACTGGCTTCAATTACACCATCAAGTAATATATATCAAGCAATCATACTTCTCTTCCCTTGGGACTGCCATATATACACGGGATATGACAAACAATAAATTGTTTCTGAAGACAACTTACATTCTTTGGACATTCCCACTTCAAAGCACTTCTGTAGTCTGCAGTACTGGCAGCGATTTCGAGTAACTTTATTGATAACACAGTTTTTATCTCTATGACATGTGTAAACCATGTTTTTCTGGATACTCCTGCGGAAAAAGCCCTGAAATCAAGAAGAAAAGAAGTCAAATAAACCTTTGAGCTTCCCATAACCCTTGGAGACAAGCACTAACATTGCCTTAAAATAGCAAAATAAATTCAAAGTTATGGCTGAAGTAGGAAAACTTTAAAGACCAAGGCTTATTATAATTTAATATTGTTTTTCTGCAACATAAGAAACACATCTCAAATAAAAGCTAATTAAATAACGCAACCTAAAGCCAAAATAAACACTAGAACTAGTAACAACATCCAGGAAATGAAGTCCTAGCTTTTACATAAGGGCTCAGATGAACACAGTTTGAACTTATGTATTCAGTAATCAGCTAGGTAAACAGCAGCCTCCCAGATTGATCCACTTGCAAGTCAAGCACTCGTCCAAGAAGGAATCATCTCCCTAGACCCAAAGGTCTCCTGGATTTGGGTTGTTGCAGAGGTTCTCTAGCCTGAATGCTGCCCCTGAAAGTGAAGTAATTGGAAACCCAGGTCTTTTAGTAGTTACAACTCCTACAGCAATAAATCCAGCTTCTGTGGGTGGAAGAGTTCCACATYAGCTTACTGAGTTTTGAACTTGTAAACCCTGTCAATTACAGTATTTTTCTCATTCACACACAGCTGTGAAAATAATCACGTAGCTAGAATGATCTTGAGCAGGAATTAAAGAAACACAACTAAAAGTCTGGTTCATACTTCAGGAACTTCATTTGATCGGATTCCTCCTAGGGTGAGGGAAAAGGAGAAAAAAAATTCAAAAACAGCAAGGTGGGTTGGCACRGAAAAAAAGGCAAAAGAATAAGTTAATTTCCTTATCTCCACTAAAACCCATGCTTTAGATATTATCATGTAATAATGAAGAAGAAAGGAGGATTACTTTAAGCATTTTAGAGATCACAGATAGGCAGTGAAAGTATTTCTGAGACAGACATTTGGACATTTGACAGTACTGCTTAACCTTCTCACTCGGGTTCCGAGCATCATTTCAGCGAGCACCGGGGTCAGATTTCAGGCAGCATTGCAGCGTTATGGCAGGATACCTGGTAATTTACTATTTGTTGGAGGGCTTGCAAGGTTGAAACTCCCCRCCAAGCCGCGTGGCTCTGCCCTATGGTGAGGTGGTAAACGCGATCGCACGGCTGATATAGCTCCATCCCCGCAGTGTGTTTGACTAAAGATGCAATCACGGCACGCTATGAAATAGGCTTTTCTTAAAAGCACTCCCGGAGAAATACAAGTAAAAAGCCCCAAACCCCTCTCATTCAGAGCGAGCCCAGAGAGATTCTGGCCACGCGATGAGGGAGCGGGAGGGCAGGCACAGGCGCTGAGGACTGCTCATAAATTCCTTGCACACCCAGCACGCTATRGCTGTTAACGTTATGAAAATACCTCAGGTTCACTCAGACCCAAAAAAATGCTTCTTTCATCACGTAACCCCTGGCAATAGTTTGCTGCAGCTCTTGCACAGGCAAGCCTCATCCTGAGCTTAGCTTCTCTGATTTAGGAGATACCATTAGAATCAAAGCAGTAAATAAAAACTCTTTTCTTCTTTCCTTCTCTTAAGCTATGGGACCCAGGATAAATATTTAATGTCATTTATTTAGCCAATTAAAACCCTTTTAAGTTATCAGCAGCACTGCTATTTTACATACAACTCATCAGTGCTGCTGGAATGTTTGCAGGTAGGGATGTGGCAGGTATGTACATTTGTTTACTTGCTACAAAACCGTAGTACTGTTCACGTACTGCTCTGCCATTCCCGTAGCCTGGCTCTGGGAGCRTTGTTGGTCACGCTAACCAGAACTGCAAGAAGTCTATGGCATCTGTGTTGTTTTACTGCAAGGATTAGCCCTTTGGCAGAAGTCACAACCTCCCGGCTCGGGACTCACCATGCGGCCGTTTCCAAGCGCCCCCTTCCAGCTGCACGGAGGCAGCGGAGGCCCCGCTGCGTAACAGGCCTGTGGGCACCTCGGCCTCGCGCCCTGCTGCATGTAAACCAACCTCTAGGTCGGGCAGCGATGGATTTACAGCCGAGCAGCCGCCCGACAAGGCAGTAAGCGAAACGGCCTGGGTGAGCGAGAACGAGCGCCTCGTGCCTGGCTGAGCACCGGGAGGGATCTGCAGAGCCCACGGGCCGAGGCCTCCGCACCCGGACAGCTCCCGCTTCACCAAAGGGGCACCGCTCGGAAGGAAACACGCACGTCAAGTGTCACCCAATACACAGCGCAGCAGGGACGACCTCCCCAAAATCAACCCGCGGGGACCAAAATACAGCCCGCAGCACCCACCGACCCCTCATTTGTTCCGATATTTCGACACGGACGCTGTGATCCTTCTAGCCTAGGGTGTAATTACAATCCACGAGGAAGGGAAGCGGAGCCGGTGGCCTCGCTTCTCACCATACAGCCTTGCCCCTACCACCAACCTCAGGAAGGGCGCCCAGCTTCTGAACATGGCAAATGTCAAGCATCCATGAACCCACTGCTAATACAAAGGGCTTAAGAAGAACAAACTTAGAAGGAGCAGGTATCTAGGTCTACACTGGGATAGCTCTTCCATGGGACTTCTTTCAACAGTCGAACCTCCCCAGCCAACAGCCTATATAGAATAAAATTACAGACTGCAGTATTAATTGTGGAAGCTTATATCTTCCATCCATTATATTTTCCATTTGATTATCTTTCTGGACTTACTCACCAGAGAAAATTAAAACTAAACTTGTTAATGTTAATATATTCAGAGGAAAAAAGGTATGACATGGTGCTGCCTAAAAGAAGGATGTGTTTTCCAATGGTATATGCCCAACTTCTAAGAATTCTTTCAGGAACTCTTCTATGGTATAGAATCTGTTTGAGATGAACTACTAAATGCACAACAATATGACACTGAAAAGACTCAGTCTTAAGCTCTTTTCCAGACAAATATTAGGAATAACGTCCAACTTCAACATGTTGCTTCTCTCCATAAAAAGAAATCCAAAACAAATCCATCACCTGGTGAATAAGAGGTCATTTCTAGAGCAAAAGGAGGTGAACAGCATTTGCTTGGCCGCCTCCACCAGGCCCCCGCGGCGCGGGAGGAGTTTCGGGTGGCACTGCAGGTAGGGTCCTGCCCAGGGCCGTTTCTTAAATCTGATGGCAGGCTCACAAAAATACTTGCTCACCAGGAAAACATACCTGCCAAGTAGGCTGCATTTCTGTGTGTACTCACATCTCACACAGTGATAAAACCTAAAAACAGCCATCCTTGATCTCACCCCCAGCAGGCGGTATTTGACAGGCCTGGACTTGACCATGATTCTTGCCTATCTCCCAAGTATTTGGCTCGTTCCACCACCCTGGAGATGATACTTTGCCTGTGGCACAGTGCTGCCCCTGCTTGTCTCATTTCATAGACTCCAGCAAGATGGAGAGCAGACAAGACTCGGCTTTACTCCAGCCAAGGTCTTTACTGGTCACTTCTTGGAACTCACATCTTTGCAGCACGGGAAAAAGACTGCGGAATATAGTGATGGACATTTGCCTTCAGATTTAGCAGAAAAGCACATTTAAATCACGTCAAGGTTGGCTTCCAAGCAGCAAAGCAGGTATAATACAGAGGTACAGCATAACAGCCTTTTTACTGCCTCGGTCAATATACTTTCGTAGGGGGCCAGTCTTCTCTGTCATACCCTGTTTCTGGATCTAATGCCTCCTTGCCAGCTCCTCGCGAAGGAAGGATTTTGGCAGGAGGGGAACACTGCTCAGCACTGCTTATAGGCGTCTTTTCTTCCCCTCTAGGTTCACTACAGCAAAGTTAGAAACAGGCCCAAGTTTTCTCCAAGTGTTTTCTCATCTGTTCGCACAACCCTGACAGCCTCCTCAAAAGAAACAAAAACAAAAAGTTTGAATGAATCTTAACTTTAAGAAGTTGGCAGGAATTTCAGAGACAGCTAAACACTGCTGTTTATAAATTAATCATCTTTAAGTGGCTATTGGCTCTTGTTAGAAACTAACAGCAATTGAAGATGCTTTTTGCTGTCACACGTTCACCTTGTGAGGAATCTAGGCTGCTGAGGTACTGAACATTTAAATGAGCATTTTTTAATGCAAATATTTTAACATACTTTCCAAATTAACAGCCTGTGATGGCAGAAGAGATGCTCCTGTGCCAAAAATGAGTGCAAATGATTCTTTGTTATGTAAAATGCATTATGTATGTGTATAAAGAAAACGCAAACTGTGAAACATAAAATAATTCAGTGATACATATTTGGTTTTGACAGCACCTACAAAGTACTTGCATTTAAAGGAAGCTACTGAAGACCTATCAAGAACAGTGATTTGCTCTAACGTTCCTTCCATCCACAGCTTTGGAAATAAGCACGGATCTCGTGGTTTTATTCTCGTGAAGGCAACCAGAGCTTCACAGACGTGGTGCTTCTGAATTAATGCCCCCTTCCTAAGCTGCTTTCATGGGCATCCTTCACACGCAACAGTTTGGGCCCCCATTTCAGTTTCTAACCTCACCTTTCCTGCCCCTCCCCGGCCACCAATCTTGTTATCTTAATGGCTGACAGAGACAGGATCCTTCTGACCATGCCGCATCAGGCGTCCTCATTTGCCGAGTGCAGGGGAAAACGCCGAGTATAAATTATTCACAAATCCATTGTATCAGCGTGTGTTCTCTGAGCGTTCACCACTGGCAGCGYGGGCAGATTATTTTTCACTTTTAATTGTGTTGGTATCTTATCTGCTGCGCTGAAARCAGAGCGCGATACGTGAAACCACATGGTATGAAGCGGCAAATAAAGATGCCTTACCAGGTCCAGTGCTTAAAACCAAACCTATTTAGCCAATGTAGCTTCAACATGAGGCCMAAAATCCCCACCCCACCATTGAGCCCTGTGTTATCCGTCTGTCATTGTGTCAAAAATTAAAGAACTCAATACAGAGCAGCGCTGCTCTCAGAGCTTATTAAATATATCAATAATACTCTGAACTCCATTATGTCGCTGGTTATCTGAGTATA